CTCCTCGGCCTGCTTACGCAGCGCCTTCTCGCGCTCGTACTGGGTGAGCAGCTGCTCGTTGTCCTCGCGCAGCAGCTCCAGTTCCACCTCGTGCTCCTGGTTCTCGCTGAGCACCGAGTCCAGGTTCTCCAGCACGTTCACCACGAGCGGCATCAGCTCCTTGACCACCTCCTCGTCGTAGCAGTGGATGAGGCGCTCGAACTCGCGGTAGATGGAGCCCGCCAGGCCCGACACGCGCTCCGACATCACCGAGCCCGAGCAGTAGTCGTCCTGGTACACCACCACGCCGCCGCCCTCGTCCATCTGGATCTCCATCAGCGCCGCCATCGTCGCCGCCAGCGCGGCCCGCTGTCCGGCCGGCGCCCGGCCCGCCGCCTGCCGCCGTGGGTCCGCAGGCCGCAGCCGTCGTCGCCGCCGCGGCCGCAGATGCTGTCGCCTCAGGCTCTGCCGCGGCTGCTGCTGATGCTGCGCCCGTCACTCACCCGCCGGAAGCCCCGCCCCCGGAAGTTCCGTCTGCCCGGAGAGGGGCGGTGCCCGCGCGTTCCGCAGGGACTTCGAGGCGCCGTGCCGCTAGAGTCGCCCGGACCGTGACGTAGGAGGACGCTGTCTCCGCGCCGGAAGCTCTACAGAGCAGGGCAGAGAGCACTTCCGGCTACCCTGTCAGCCGCAGTGCAGCGGGAAGGTGCTGGGTACCCGTCGCCGGCCCAGATTTTTAAGTGTCCGATCATATCCCGAGTACATATGAATGATTATGTGGTAGACCAAACTATAAAGATCTGTGTGCCTTCCTTCTCGTTTAAGAACATTCTGAAACCCGGGGTGCTGCTCCCTTCCCTAGAGGTGAACGTAAGGTAGACCTTGTTAACCTTCCTTTGACTAACTTTTGTGGTTTTACTGCATAGTAGTGCTTACTTCAGGAATCCGTGGAGAGCGCAAAAGGCTAAGCGGTAGACTACTAACCCAAAGAGTGCTGGTTGGAATCTAACCAGAGGTACCTCGCAAGACGGGCCTGAGGGTCTGTTTCGGGTCTTCAAGGTCATAGCCTTGCAAACCCTGTGGAGCCTTTCTGCTCTGCACGCGAGGCCACGATGAGTCAGAAGGACTCCAAGGCAACTACCACCAACAGTGCATTCTGCAAGACAGTAAGCACTCACGTCTGGTTATCAAATGGTGCCTCCACCACGCAAGCGTCTCCTCCCAGGATTCCAATTAGATGCGAGTTGATCCACTCAGCCTAAAAGCCACTAACGTTCGCTTACTCTATTTCTGCCCACATTTCACATAACTTCTTATTTCCAAGTTTCTTTTCAACTGTGATTTAATCCAACCCTAAACTCTTAATTTCAATGTTACCTTTTTAGTATTGGTTTGTCCTGTTTGATTGTTAGGGAGCTCTGGTAGTGTAGTGCCTAAGGCACTTGACTGCTAACCAGAAGGCTGGCAGTTCAATCCCACCAGCCACTCCTCAGAAGGAAGGTTGGGCTATCTGCTTCTGTAGTGATACTGCCTCGCAGCCCAAGGAGGGGTTGCTATTAGTCGGGTCTGACTGGACGGCACATAACAACATCTGGTTATTATAGTATACCAGTGTTGAGAGACTCTTTTTCCATATACTTTCAGCTCCTTGTTTCTCTTTAGAAAGCTCTGCACATCCCATTATGCAGTCTGCTGTTCTGGTGGGCTTCTGCGTGTTCATGAGACGTCTTCTGTGAACATTTTTCATGCCTGTTAAAATGAGTCCAGAGGGTTTGCATTTTCTCTCACTGGGTACCCAGGGCATTAAGAACACAAGTCTTCAAGGGGTTTTGTAGGCCATACAGGTAGTGTGGACTCCAATTCACAGATGCCTTCTTACATGCTCAGACAAGTCTCCCACTCCTGCCTTTCTCCTTAAATGCTGCAGGTCAACTCAGCCACTCCCTACCCTGCCCACACCCTCCTACAGTTGACCCTACCACTGTGTTTGTCACATATTCCCCTGCAATGTTATTTTTCACTTAGGTAACATAGGTTGTAGGAGACTTAAAAGTCTCAGATTCAGAATGTCTGGGCTTTGATCTTAGCTAAATGATGTTTTTCCCAAGTCCCCGTTCCCAAACATGCAACAATGAGTCTAAAAACAGTACCAACCTCCCAGGGCTGCTCTGAAGATGAGATAATCCATGGCAGGCACTCAGCATGTCAGCACGTCTGTCTCTAGCATGTGGTGAATGGTACGTAAAAGCATTCATTGTATAGTCTCAAAATGAGGAGGCAGGACAAATGGACAACACTATGCTTGATTCCTCCTGGTGAGCCAGTTAGAGAGGGCTTGTGAGTGTTGGGGGGCGGGGGGACTCTTAGGCCTCTCAGAAATTTGACCACTTTGGCAGCCAACTGACTGACCATCATCTTGATCAGTAATTTTGATTAACATGATTTGTTACTTGAAATTACTCAACAAGATGATCAGCTTACCAGTTCTTGAGGCTTACTCAACAGTGCGGCTGTTCTGGGAAGCTCCACCTGACTGGATCAGAATTTACTCCCCAGCAGGGTGGGCTTCCCTTCCAGACCTGGCAAGACCATTTAGGACACAGCTTTTTCTTTCTCATGACCAGACCCTTAAATGAAAGATGAGCACCCAAGTTTCAAAACTGACCTGACTGTACACACCTGCCCCAGTGCCTGACAGTCACCGAGGGCCCTGTGTTGCTGTGTTGTCAGTCGGCGTGGATCCTGGCTCACGGCAACGACCGTGTGTGTGCAGAACTGCCCCGTAGGGTTTTCAAGGCTGTGACCTCGTGGAAGCAGACCACCAGGCCCAACTTCCTAAGCGCCTCTGGGTGGGTCCAAATCACCAACCTTCTGACTAGTGGTCAAGTGCTCAACGCTTGGCACCACCAGGAACTCCCCTCTAGTCCCTCTCCTTTATTCAGAGTTTGAATTTTGACAGCATCACTTTGCAGTTAAGTAAAATGGGATGATTTCATTAACAGTACTATTCCCTCAGAAAGGCAGAAAGAGCCCTGGTGGCTCAGTGGTTAAAGCACTCAGCTGCAAACCAAAAAGATGGTTTGAACCCACAAGCCACTCCATGGGAGAAAGAGTGGCAATCTGAATCCACAAAGACGACAGCTTTGGAAACCCTATAGGATGGCTCTGCTCTGTCCCACAGGGTGGTTGAGTCGGAACTCATTTGCCCGTGGGTTTGGCAGCAGGTTAGGAATACAATGGGCTTGGAGGAGCTGGCTAGCACAGAACATCATTCTGTGGGGGGACGTGCACACGCCCTCGTAAACTCTGACTCACTGAAGCCCCTCATGAGATCACAGCGAGTTATGCTGCATGGACGCCTGGGTATCACTCGATGCACCAGGAGCAGTCTAGGAGGTGCAGCCCTTGGGTGTTTGCTAGTCACCTGGCCTCTGGTGTATGTGGCCTCTGTACGGGCAGGCTGTGCCCCCCCAGGCTCAGGGCTCACAGTGCAGGAATGGCCGCTGCATGCAGGTGAGCCAAGGCTGCCAGTGTGGGCCCAGCACTCGGCATCCAGGATGAACAAAGCAGACGGGTGCCAGCTACCTGCTGGGGCCATTAGCAGTACGGTCCCACGGCTGCCCCTGCCCCTGTGCCAGCTACCTGCTGGGGCCATTAGAAGCATGGTCCCACGGCTGACCCTGCCCCAGCAGGCAGAGTGCTGTAGGGCCTCCAGGGGGCCTCCCCGGGCAGGTAGGCTGCAGTCCTGTCACCCTGAATCCACAGAGTACATGCACAGGCATGGACAGTTTATGTACAGGACACGGACAGATCTGACAAACTCTTATTAACTCAGCGCCTCACCTCCTCAGTATAAGCTTGTCATGTTTCAAAGCCGACTCGGGCAAGGTCAGGCCCTCTGCTCTTTAGAAAACAAATTTGTTTACTAAAGTGCCCATTAGTTGATAGGCGAAAGCATGCTGGCATGTTCCCAGTGTCTGCTCCAGACCAAGCCTTGGTTTTCAGACAGAAAACCCTTATATCCACACTGGAGGACTGAGAAGACTGACTTGGGCTTCGTTCTCTGGAAGCATGGGGAAGAAAAGGGTGACAGACCCCTTCACTACAACAAGCAGCAGGGGAGGAAGAGGGCGGGGGCATTCTGCAGGACGGGTACTGTGGACAGTGCACACAGAGACATGAGACGGGAAGACGGGAGTGCATGACAGCTGCATTTAATCCACCTGTTACACCCAGTCAACTAACCAAATGCTCCTATCCAAAGTACACGAGGTGTGAGCACCGGTGTGGCATCTAACGCACCTGAAGTCTTAAGGCTTTAATGCAATGCAGCGTGGAGGCCAAGAACAGGATGGAGAGTTTCTGAGTGTTTCGGTTCCCAATGCACAGAGCATCTTCCAGACACAAATGGCCACCTGGGGCTTGGTCTCCCGGGACAGACCACCCTGGCACTTGACACCCACACCCCCAGGCTCATGCAAGATGGAGGGAAGACAGGGAAGGAAGATGGAAAGTTGTGGCTGACAACACCCAGGGGCTCTGGGTTATGTCTCCTTCATTCTCCCCAACCGCCCCTCCCATCTCTGGCTCCCCCATCACAGCCACGGAACTCCCTGCAAAAGACCAGTGAGCTGGGAGCAGGGCCTTGGGGGAGTCATGAGGGCCAAGGTGCATGAGGCTTTTTCCCGGTGATCCCACTGGAGCTGACACTCATTTTTCTTTCCATACCCTAACCCTAACCCTTGCTAGCGGAAGAATAGCTCACTCATGGTCCCAGCTAGAACACCTGGGCTTACAGGCCAAGCACTGATGCTGACGTGCGTTCTTATAACTGACGCGCAGCCCACACACAGCTGGAGACAGCACCTGTGACAGGTCCACGAGAGCAGAGGAGGAGCGCCATCTCTGGCTGGCAGTGCCACGTGGGGCCCTCCGCCTGCTGGGGAGAAAGGGGCTCGACAGGGATCTCCTGCGGGCACTTGGGCAGCAGGGCCCACAAGGGTGGCCGGGTACAGCAACTGCTTGACTAGCTTCCGTAAAGATGGTGGCCTTGTGGATGCTCATGACAATGGCCTCTGCCACGAGAATCTTCTCTGTGTTAACAGATGGTCCAACATGAGGGAGGCTTGGGATTCCAGACTGGAGCCCTCCAGGGCTGCCTGGGACAAACATGTGCCGAAAGCTTAACATGAAAGGACTCCTGCCAGCCCCATTATCTTTGCTGACTTGGCCAGGCACGACTTCCTCCAAAGTACTCGATCCCTGTCTCTTCCAGAAGGCTGTTGGTGAATACGACCCTGAAGTCTGCAGAGCTTTACAGAGGGCGGGCAGAGCGCCTTGTCTTCCTCTTTGGTGTACCTGAGAAACGGACTTTTTTTTCTAGAAAGGTGTTGGGAATAGGCCGGAGTGAACAGTCACTGGTGGGAAGCTGGTGTTTTGAAACAGCTCTTTGGGATGATGAAGGAACGAGAGCCTAAGAACCCTAGGTCCTCGGACACCTCCTTCCTGCCAGCCGGCTGCAGAAGGAAGGCAAGATGGGGTCAGCGCAGCCGCCATCACCTGCACATACAGGAAGGGGCTGAAGAGGCCTCCCAGCTGCAAAGGGCCAGAGCCCCCAGCCACGGACAGGAGCAAAGGCCCAGTGTAATGCTGGGGAGAGAAAAATGCAACATCTGCAAGCGTGACTGGCAGGTGAGGCGACCACAACTAGCTCCCCGCGAAGGAAAGGCAGATTCCTGTGTAACATGAGCCGAGGTCTGAGATGGCAGGAATGGGGCACCTCCAAGGATCAAGGCATGAAAAGCTCCCATCAAGTCTAAGACTGAGAACAAGAAGAAAGGGGAAACCAGCTTGCAGAACACATGCTGAAAACACCTCAAATGCACCGTTTTGGTTTTGGTTGAAAGCTGCCGAGGAGAAACAATTCCAGATGTTTGAAGAAAAGGATGCACAGTGAGAGGCTAGGGGAAGAGTGAAGGCAACGCCCAGGGCAGAAGTGGTCTGCTCCGGAAAGGAACCACCTCCCTGCAGGGTGACTGGCAGCAGGACCCAAAGTGGGCTTTATGCAGAGACCCCCCATCCACGCTGGTGTTGCTGCTAGGATCTTGCTCTTGACCTCGCGGCCACAGATAGTGGTTTTGGTCTGTGAATGCTGCTTCTGTTTCAGTCACTTCCAGACACCCAGCAAGCCTGCAGGTTGGGACTCCCAGGTCACGGAGGATCCTACTGCAGCAGGCCTCACAGCCACCTGCACCATCTCCCCACCCCTACAGTGTGGCATCATAAAGGGGCGCACGCTGGGCAGTTGCTGTGACCCCGTGAAGAAACGTTTCCTGGCCTGGACACCACTTACTGCACTGCTCTTGTGAGCTTCAGACCTGTGACAAACCCTCTCCCACCCCCACTCTTCCAGGCTAAAGGGAACTACATATAGGATACCCCCTTCTGAGCTTCTGTGTGGCTGCTGGGGAACACTGGCCTCTTAGTAGAAGGAGATGCTGGACTTGCCTCCAGGAGGGTTCAGGACTTTGTTGTGGGACCGCGGCCGTGGCCCCAACCGTGGCTCGTGGCTGTCAACCTTGGCCGTGGGCTCCGGACCCTTCGTGGGGTCCACGTCTCTTGTGCTGCCCTTCTCACTCAGGCCCTCTCTTGAGAGGGTGCTCGCTGCAGCTGTGGGACAAATTAGCACATCACCTATTAGGGGCTGCCCATGACCCTGACATCAAGCTGTCTGTCACAGAGCAGCTTACAAGATTTTCACCCAACAAGGTGAAGAGAACAAAGTACAGCTGAGCTTCAAAGTGTGACAAGAATACATGACAAAGTGTGACAACATGCTATGTGTAGCTGGATGCTGGACCTGTGCCGGCTGACCCTGGGGCAGGGTACCTACCGTGCCCACTCCCCGACTGAGACCTCCATGCACTAACTACATCCTTGTGCCGGCTGACCCTGGGGCAGGGTACCATGCCAACTCACTCCCCAAATGACTTTTCCACGTACTGTCTATATCCTTGTGCCAGCTGACCCTGGGGTGGGGTACCACGCTCACTCCCCAACTGACCCCTCCACGCACCAACTACATCCTTGTATTGCTTGTTGCATGGCAGCCCTGCCCCTCCTGCTCCAAGTCTAATAAGGAGACGTCCTGAGAGTGAGCGAAGCAGGACAGGGAGCTGGTCTAACTGGAGGGTCTGGCAAGGTGAAGGATGGGTTTTCAGATACTGTGACTAGCCATCTTTAGGGAGGAATGTGTGGACTCCCATGTGGCCTGGCCATCTGCTAAGGGAACAGCAAGAATGGGAGCCATGGCTGCTCAGTGGGCCAGGCTGAGGCTCGGACTCGGACCTTTAGCCAGCGCCAGGGCAGCTTCACCTCCCTAGCCACACACCTATCTCAGCCCTTCCTTCTCTCACTTCTCCCCACCCCCTCCCTTGGGGCCTGTCTCTTTTGCTGAGTCCTGCCAGCTCTGCCCTGACCTCCTCCACCACTCAAAGCCAGCTCCTGTGAAAAGACAATGAGGGCGGAGACCTAGGCTGGTCAGTAACGATACCAGGTGAAGAAAAGTCACCTGGGATCAACTCCAAATGCTTCCTAGAAACAACCAAGCCCATTTCCCTGGCTGCATGCAGACTCAGTCCCAGCAATAATGGGACGGTGGGCCAGTCCAGTTCTGGGCCCGAAGGGTCAAAGGACTGTGCGCTCTCTTCCCCAGGGGCAGGACAAAGCCTCACCTGGAAGGTCCGGCTTCGGATCGTCTCCTTCACGTAACAAAACGTGGTCCTGCAATAAGCAAACAAATGGTCAGTGCAGGATTCGGGGCGCCCCCTGTTGACTCGAGGGGGTGCATTTATCTTTAGCTCCTAGAAGTGTTTTTATGACTGATGCTTTTCACCATCAACAGAGGGTGGCCCCAGGGGCTCCCAAGTAACCTGTCGTTCAGCTACAAGGCCCTCAGGGCACGGCCCTCCTGTCTCAGCCACTCTTCCCTAAACTGGCCCTTATTCTCCACCACCGTGGGATCACTTTGAAGCAGATCTCTTACTTCTTTTCATCCATAAATGTCCAGATATGTCCTATCCATAAATATGTCCTCAAAGTTTGTTAAACGTAAGGACAGTAACTGCAGCTGCTCACACAGCAAATGCGTCGTCAGCACACAGATCTCTGGGACAACCCTGCTCTTGCCTCTTAGTCGGTTTGCCTTCACCAAGTTCCAAGCAAGGTCTGCCTGTCCCTGCCGGCTGTGTCTTGTAAGCCTCCCTAATCTACAGGATTCTATTTACTGGTGCACAATGCCTTGGCTTTTGTGTTACTCCAACTGTGCTGTTGTACCTATAAGTGTCTGACCAGGCTTCAGAGGTGCTGCAGCCTTCCATCATGAGGCCCTCGCTCTGGGCTGTTCCTCCTCTGTGAGGTCAGCCACCCTGAGATCACTGTCTCCATCTGTTATTTCATCAATGTCTGCAAAGTGGGGACATTCAAATCTTACTGTTACTGCTCTGCTGTGGACTTGCAGGAAAGGAAACACCCTTGTTGATTCTGACTGGGATCCTGAGCGTAGTTACCACAGGAAGCCAGTCACTGTGACTTGGTCCTTTTCTTTACCACTTTTCACAATGATGAGCTAGTCCCTTGGTATTCCCCAAAGGTGACAACTCAGGTTGTTTTCTTTTCTGTATCATTATGAACCTGTGAATTTTAAGTGTCTCACAGATGCCCGATGAGTGATTATACTGATGTGAGGACCCAGTGGTCCTGCCTGTGGCTGTGGAGGCCTCCTTGGTTGGTCCCTGACTGTGCTGACACAGTCCTGAGGTCTCTAGTGGCCTCCCTGCTCTCTGGTGTTGCAGGGCCTCAATCCAGGCACTTCTCCAAAAGGGCTGGAGATGCCCTCTACATTGTACAGACCAGCAAAGCTCTAGGGTGCTCCCCTCTCCCCAACCTGTCCCAGTCCCACTAAGTGCACACCCTCCACACACTTGCATCGCCCCCAGAGCACAGGCAGCACTGCGGGAAGGGTCTCCGCTGTGTCAGCTGATCTTGTCGTCTCTGACTGTAGTGCTGACACGCCGCCAACTCAGGGCATTTCCAGTCCAGGGAGGTTCAGCCTGGAGCCAGGGCCCCAAGATGCTTTCTCAGAAGACACAACTCTCCTTGAGACGGCTCACGTATCGGTCCAGCACCAACCAGCAGGCCCAGCCTGCCCTGTGGGCTCTGATCTGCAGGCAGAAATGCTGCTGCTGCTGCTGTGCGATCTCGCAGGGGGACATGCTGACACCCTGCCGTCCACCGGTCTCACTCAGCTCTGTTTCCATGGTGGTCCTGACGTGGGCTGATGGCTGAGATGTGAGTGGACAGAGGTACAGAGATGCCCAGGCACCAGCACCTCCAGAGACAGGCAAGAACGTGCTATTCTGAGCACAGAACAGTGACACAGAGTCTTTGACCGTAAAGGCTGGGAAGCTAAGGAGTGGACTCAGAGGCCTGGTGACGGTCACTAAGTTCAATCACCGTTGAGTCCCAGCTTAAGTAAATCCGAGAAGCCCTGCCCTCCTTAGAGCAATAGAGCACTGTTTAAGGGGGGAGCTGGCATGGCCCTGATCGAGCCTCTGTTCCAGCCAGCAACGTGCCCATCTTCCATCCCTCCTTCTCGTACACCTCCCCGCCCCCTCCCTTAGGGCCCATCTCTTCTGCTGAGTCCTGCCAGCTCTGCCCTGCCCACTCCACCACCCAAGGCCAGCTCCCATGAGAGGACAATGGGGGCGGAGGCCTAGGCTAGTCAGTGACGACACGAGGTGAAGGGAAGCCACCTGGGATCAACTCCAAGTACTTCCTGGAAATAACTGGGCCCACTCCCAGGGAGCACATGGAGACGTGACTGGTACCCAACAGGCCAACACAAGGGCACTGTGCCCTGGAAGTTCCTTGCTTCCAGTCACCGCTGAGCCAGGCAAGCACCATGCAAGTAAGGGGAAGACGCTAGCCGTATGCCTGGTGCCGAGGCACAGGCCACGGGTCAGCGTGCCCACCCAGAGCCACCACCGTTCCTTTCTGAAATGCAACAAGAATGGTGACATATCCTGGGGACGGCCCTCTGCTGTGTGCATGTCCTACCCGTGTTCTCGTCACTACCCTGAGTAACACAGAGAAGAGCAGTGACCTTCCCGTGAGGGCACTCACTCCATCCATGTGCCTGGGGACCAACCCTCCCGGCTCCAGTCACCCCAAGACTATGGGGGAACTGACATGTGGTGACTAACAGCAGCACCAGTGTCCCTGTCTTGCCTGCTCCCGATGACACGCCACAGCTGCCTGGGCCTTATCAGAGGCACCAGGCTCACCCTGTGCTTTCCTTCTGCCTCTGCTATCTGCACACAGGCCATACCTTGGGCTTGTTCGGGTGAGCCACGGGTGAAGCAGAAGTGACCGGGGACCCGAAAATGTCGCTGGTCTTCCCACCAGGTGGGTTCAGACGCTGCCGGGTCTGCACGGGCGTTGACTCTTCAAAGATGCCGCTTCCTTTCCCACCTGCAGAAGCGATCAGAGCGGGTGAGAGATCAGACACCCTATCCCTCTATGCTCCCCTGCTCTGGGGGCGCACACTGAGCGACCAGACGCCCCAGCCCTTCTCCTGCTCCCCTGCTCCTTTGGGGCACACTGAGAGAACAGACACCCCCCAGCCCTTCTCCTGCTCCTTTGGGGCACACTGAGCAACCATATGCCCCCAGCCCTTCTCCTACTCCCCTGCTGGGGGCATAATGAGTGACCAGACACTGCCATCCCTTCTCCTACACATCTGCTCCTCTGGGGGCACAATGAGGTACCAGACACCCCCCCCCAGCCCTTCTTCTGCTCCCCTGCTCCTGCATTCCAAGGGCCTGTGCTCCAGGCTGACAAGTAAAGTGGCTGGTGGGTGGGTGGCAGGCAAGCCTGATCCCTGTACCTGGCCTGCTAAAGCTTTCCCTTCTAGAACAGAGCTGGGCCTATGTTGGCCTCAACCCGTGAAATGGCACAAAACACATATGTTCCCTCCAGAACGTCCCTTAACCTAGACTCTTTACTCTTTCTCCATCAAACCCATGCAACGTGCTTCAGTAGAGAAGGAACAAAGACTGCGACAGGTTCTGGTCGCTTAGACAGAGCTGTGAATTTAAGAACATGCCCAGTCAGAAGGAAGGGCTGCTTATGCACAGGGAGATAGCTCAGGGTGCAGAAGAGTATGAAGGGATGGACACTGGGAGGAGGTAACTATGGGGAGGAAGTGGGAGGGGAGCTGCTGCATTGTAAATTTTGGTCAATGACATGAGACAAAGTATATGTGAACTGCTGTATGAAAAGTGAATTTACTCTGTAAATCTTCACCCAAATCCTAATAAAAAAAAAAAAAAGAACATGCCCAGTCAAGGTAGACCTGTAGTCTGGAAGAAAATATCTCTTAGTCATCCTTTTATCTCACTCTGGCTGGAAGCTCCAACAACCAGAAGTGTCAGCAAATTGTAGGCAGTCAACATCTTGTTGGGTGTCTGTGGTTGAACTTGTTAAAGCTGATGACTAAGGCCTAGACTTGAAACACTTCTTGATGAAGATTAAAGACTACAATCTGCAATATGGATTACAACTCAACATAAAACGAAAATCCTCAAAACAGGACCAATAAGCACATCACTTAATGCAGAAAAGATTGAAGTTGTCAAAGACTTCATACTACTTGGTTCCACAGTCAACACCAATGGAAGCAGCAGTCAAGACAACAGATGACGTATTGCACTGGGCAAATCTGTTGCAAAAGACTTCTTTAAAGTGATGAGGAGCAAAGATATCTCTTTGAAGACTAAGGTGTGCGTAACCCAAGCCATGGTGTTTTCAATCTCCTAATGTGCACAGGAAAGCTAGACAATGAATAAAGAAGACTGAAGAAGAATCGATGCTTTTGAGTTGTGGTGCTGGCAAAGAATGCTAAAAGCACCACAAACTGCCAGAAGAACTAACAAATCTGCCCTGGAAGAAGTGTAGCCAGAATGCTCCTTGGAAGCAAGAATGGCCAAACTTCACCTTACCTACTTTGGTCATGTTGTCAGAAGGGACCGTTCTCTGGGGAAGGACATCACGCTTGGTAAAGTGGAGGGTCAGAGAAAAAGGGAAAGGCCTTCAGTGGAATGGACTGACACAGTGTCTACAACAACGGGCTCAGGTACAGCAAGGACTGTCAGGCTGGCGCAGGACCGGGCAGCGTTCCACTCTGTTGTACACGGGGTTGCCGTGAGTCGGAGCCAGCTCGACAGCACCTCACAACAAGTCGGACACGAGCAGAGAGGTGGCTGCACACACTACTGTCTGATCCCATCTCCTTGCCCCCATCCCTGGGCCATTCTTCACAGGCTCCATGAAATGGGAAATAAAACTGACAACAAGAGAGCTGTGAGAAGCAGCAACTCGGCACAGGGTCTCTGACGGCTGTCACTCCATCTGTGACCACACACAGAGGAGGAGGCTTCTGAACTCTCTGGTCCAGGGCTGGGCTTCCCACTGCACCACCCCCAGGCTGCTCAACCCTGCAGCCAACCTGACACACCACAGAGACAGCTCCAGGCCAGGCCTGCTTAGGCAGGGCTGCTGGAGGGCTGCAGATCTGACTCTAGCTTGCAGGCCACACATACAAAGCATGGGCAGGGCCGGCTGGCATGGGCCCCACACTTGTGAAATGGGCCACAGAGAGAGAAGGTCAGTTCAGATTCCAAGGTGGGATGCTTAGGAAGAAGTACCTGCTTCTGCACTGACCTACACTAGGAAGCAAGCCCCCTCCCAAACAAAAGTAGCCCCAGCACTCACTGTTCCTGGTCCCCTCGGCTGGTCAAGGATGTGCACTCGGCACTGGTCCTGCTGCCCCTCATCACCTCTGTGACACACGAGCTCCTGTACCTGCCCCTCAAGTCTTCAGGGAAGGAACAAGCCTTGCTTTCCTCTCCTGGACACATCAGGAAAGTACTCAGCTAACCAGCCCTCCACAACTCTCAAATGATACTCCAGCAGCCCGAGAAACATTCCCCAGAGGCCTTCCACCCTGACCGTGAGATGGCAGGTCGGTGCAAAGGCAGACTGTGCTGGCCTGAGGTATCTTTTCAGCATTTCAGTGCATTGACAATTCAGTAAAAAAATATTCTGCCTAAGAAAGTATCCACACACGCAACAAACTGCACGTGATTTCAGGCCCCTCACCCATGCATCCTCCAGGGGTCCAGGGCATAGAGGCGAACCCCTCCCTCAGCAGAGAGCCCCCTTCTCCAACTCTGTGTCCCCAGCACCTGCTGAACAGATGCAGGAGAATCCAAGAATGCACACAGCACCTTCACAGAGCAAACAAGAACCGGGCTCGGACCTTTCTTCAATTCTAGAAATACTCGGATGACAAAGGTGAGCCTGCCCCAGCTGATAGATGAGAGGTCGAGGGGAGATTCTCCTCCACGGTGTGGCAGCAAAGATGAGAGGCAGGGCCCCAGGACAGGAGTTTACAAAGACCCTCACCCACCTGGGGGGTTTGTCCTCTTGGGTATGTTCTGTGGCTCTTCGCTTGGTCCAAAGATATTAGATGCCATCCTGTTAGGCCTGCTAGAGGAGGCAGCTTCTTCTGAAGTGCCAGAAAGGCTGCCCGAGTCTCCTCCCAGGGAGTTCATGGCCCTGCGTGCAGAAAGGAAACAGAGTTACTGAGGGCGCTGGAATGCTGGCCACTGTGCAAGGCCACTGCAGACCTGGGCGACACTCTCCCACTGTCTGTGGGAAACGCATCCGCCAGGTGCCTGCTGCTGGCACGAGTGGCTGACAGACGGCCATACGGCAGGTCTGCAGTGCCCTCAAGATCCCTTTAGATGTATCCTTTATATACATTGACTGTATTAAAATTTCTAGGAATTCACAGATCTTGAAATTACTCCTGTGACCTCACGTAAGCACAGGTCCATGGCCGCGCTGAGCAAAGTTGAATACCAGTTTTAACTAGCACTCAGTAGTGGTAATATCATCTCTCACTTTTGTTTGGGCTGAAGACAGTTCTAAGCACTTCACACACATTACGTTTGCCTGGTGCTCACTGCAACCCTTGGAGGAAGGATCATGATTTCCATTTGACAACAATGAACTGAAGATATAGAGAGGTGAGATGAGGCGCCCGAAGCCACACAGGAGGGAGCAGAGTCAAGATCCAAACCCCAGCTGTGCGAGTCCAGAGCATGGACTCTAATTCATCCCACAGGTCTCTAGAAAAAGACCAAGAGGACAGCCCACCACTGTCCCAGGGGCTAGCATGGGAGCCACTGGCTACAGTGCAGTGAGACATTTGAAACACGGCCAGTTCAGATTGAGAAGTACTCTAAGTGTAAAATAAACATCGATTTCAACAACTCGCACAAATAAGAAAATGCAAAACCACGCCTTTAGTTGTATCTTTAATGCGAATCACACGTGGAAATATACTTTGCATATACTAGGTTGAATAAAATTATTAAAAGTAATTTTACCTTTTTGAACACCCCTTAGGGTTAGCACTTGACTGCTAACCAGAAGACTGGCGGTTCAAACCCACCAGCCACTCCTTGGAAGAAAGATGGGGCAATCTACTTCCACAGTGATACTGCCTCGGAAACCCATGGAGGGGTCGCTATGAGTCAGGTCCTACTCGACGGCACGTAACAACAACAATTAGGAAATGGAACATTCCACAGGAGGGTTCACACATCTTCTGGACAGCACTGGCCTAGAGCAGGGGACATGCCACCAACATAAGTCACCATGAGCCCTGGAATCTAGAGTCATCGCTCTGGCCCTCTGGTGTAATCAATGAGGAATCAGAAGAGGCATGTACTAGCGACACTGATTATTTTACTTCAATACAAATGGGCTGAGTCGTCCCCACACACACTGGCATCCCATAGATACAACTCACCTTCAACACCCCTCAGGAGATGTGGGATCCTCAGCCCCCTGACAAACAGCCACGGGCCCCTGAAGGCTGCTCTTTGGGAAACTGCTGGGCACTATTTGGGAGTGTTACAGTGGACATTCCCAGAAGAAGAGATGGAGCTACTTTCAAAGTGATGAGTCACCAAACCACTTTCACTGCAGCGAGTAAGGAATTGCCACAAAGCTCGGCCCTGCCTCCCCCGGAACATCTTCAGCAGAGTGGCTGCATCCTAAATCCACACGCAGCTTTCCAGAACATCTGGAAAGATTTGTAAACGCATTTTAGACGTGCTTGGGCTCTAGTTTTAACCAGTGAGTTAATCTAGTTTAACCAGTGAGTGGCCCACATTGTTCCAGTAGGTCCTCAACAATAGGATGACCTGTAATCCCCCCCGGAGGGAGATACTTGGGAGATTACAGAGCCCCACAAAACAAAGGAATATCGAAAATGTTTTCTGTTTCCTCCATTACAGGAAACAAAAGCGCCTGACAGGGAGCTGGCCGTTCCTGGTGCTGTGATGAAGTGAATGGCACTCTGGGGTGTGAAGCAGGACTGCGGGGTGTATTTCACAGAGGGCGGGCAAGGTGCCAGCCACAGCCAGACAAAGGCAGCCGAGCCGGCACTCAGTGCTGTCGCCGCCAAGTGCGGCAAGAGGCAGGCCCGGGACCTGTGATTTGGTGCCCAGACCCCGTCTGCTTGCGGGGCAGGGAGAGTAGACATGCTGAGCCTGCCTGCTCAGCAGTCAGCACTTCCTAAGGCAGGATTTGATGGAGGAAAATGAAAAATGACTTCCATTTGAGAAAAAAAAAAAAAAGATTAAAAAAAGACACAATTAGACCTGAGGTTTCTCTCAGGTCAGGCACTGTTTGATGGGTACAGTGAGGCATGTAACCCCGTGCCCATCTGTAAACCATGGAGTCTCGGGGTAATGCCATCTCCATATTGTTCTTGGCCAGCTGCAGCATAGCTAATATGCCTGGGTCTCCACAGCCATCGCTTCCAAAAGAAAGGGGACAGAAACTGAACTGAGTTTACCTCAAACCCCATGCGAGCCTGAGTGCACTTTTACTGATTTCACTGAAATCTGGCTCTTCCTTCAGCCCCTGACTGTCCCACACTGACTGTCAGATCAGATTTAAGGAGGCTTGTCTTAATTCAAAGGTGTCCAAGATGCTTCCCTGACCCCCATACTCACTACACTCTCAGAGCCTCCCATGTCTCTTTCCGCCTCTCCTCACATTCTTGTTCAGTTCAGCTCAAACACTCACCAAGCCCTTGCCCCTAGCAAGCTGGTGCCCAAGCCTGTGGACAGAGAGGCAAAGTGGGCAAGTCCCATGTGACGTGACAGAAGCACTGAGCATCCTGTCCCTGGAATGTCCCAGAGGACGTGAGGTCCACAGTGAGCCTGTGCTCCTCACATGGAAAGGGCACCATGAGGTACACCAGGGAAGCGATAGTTACAATCAAATGTTAACCTGGGTGGTTAAAGTCTACGGGTTTATTATTCTACATACCTCGGGGAAGCTCTGGTAGCGTAGTGCCTAAGGCACTTGACTGCTAATCAGAAGGAAGATGGGGCAAACTACTTCCGTAGTGATGTTGTTGTGTTGTTGTTTTGTTGTTATGTGCCGTTGAGTCAGCCCTGACTCATAGCGACCCCTCCTTGGGTTTCTGAGGCAGTATCACTACGGAAGTAGGATTGCCCAACCTTCCTTCTGAGGAGTGGCTGGTGGGTTTGAACCACCAGCCTTCTGGTTAGCAGTCAAGTGCCTTAGCCACTATGAAATCCAAGGAGGGAGGGGTCGCTATGAGTGGAGTCCGACTCGACTCACGGCACATACCAACACAACATACTTCCCTGAGTTTCGTTTACTTTGAAAGAGAGTGTGGGAAAGGTCAATGGTGCCAGAGAGAGGCTATTGTACATAGTGTCAAGCCTCCTTGGAAGGGCAGCTGCCACCTCCAGCACAAAGGCCAGGAGGTGGCCTCAGAGCGCCATGCGGTGGCACAGGCTCCACATCAGGATCTTGACTGAGGGGGACTGACAGTTAAACAGCCAGTTCAGTAAAAACAGAACCCACAGTGACGGCTCAGTCCACCCTTCAGGCTCACATGGCTCCCAGCAGTGACAGCCACATGGCACTGACTGTGGTAGTGGTTCAGGACTAGTGAGCTCAGACATTCTGCATGGGAATTCACAATGTGGGAAGGCCCCTGATTGTTTCTTCCTGTGGGAGTACTCCTTCAGCATATTTGGATATTCAAAAGTACACAGAGGAATTATGGGACATGTGACAAAAAATCGACACAGAGCTCACTGACAGAGCCCTAGACAGTTAGGCTCTTACCTGAGGGCACCCAGGTACATGCTCTCTCTCTCTCTCCAACAGCCAGTCCCTGCATTTCGAAGAAGTGTTCGGAGAGCGGTCAGACTTGGAGAGGTGCAGTATAGGTAACACACTTACATTAAATTCTTTACAAACACAGGCACATCTCGTTTTATTGTGCTTCACAGATGCGTTTCTTAGTGGCACCCCTGCGTCAAGCAAGTCTACTGGTGTCATTTTTCCAACAGCACGTGCCCACTCCTGTCTGTGTGTCACATTTTGGTCATTCTCACAACACTTCAAACTTTTTCATGATCTTGTAAGCTTCAGAGACTACAGTACAGCGTCAACCCAACTCTCTGAGAAACCAAACAATTTGGGAACCAAACCTGCACTGTTTCTGAGGTACACCTGTACACACAGCTTAAAACAAGGCTTAGGTTAAGGATGGTTAAAGCGTCATGCCTTCACAGCTCAAAATCTGTTCAATACAGGATAGTCCCTGAACCAGAATATGAAAGATGGCTTGAAAAGTCTCCAGATGTGTGGGGTCTGAAGAGACAACCTGGGCTGGGTCACCTCACAGCCACCAGTCAGCTCACCTCAGAGCAAAATAAAAGTGACTCTTACAAGACAGGCTCTGCAATTCCTCTAACTGATCCCAAACAGAGACTCAGATTGTATCTAAACATCCAAAGAAGACCGGTCTTCCTCCTTTAACATCCTCACGGGACGACTTGTCACCCTTTCATAATGGCCTCTCCAAAATCAAATTCCCCAGAGATGTGTCAACTGTTAGAGAGCCAACTTGACAGGTAACTTCTATCACTCTGAAAGTCACATTAACGTCACTCAGGGAGTGTATTCATTAACCCCACCAGCATTTACCAGCACCCAGGGACTGGACTTTGTGGAAGTGGCCCCTCGCGCATCTGTTTTGGAACCCCAACTTCGGAAGGCTTCCTCTCTGCAGCCTAAACCAGCCGCCTGAGAAACTAGACTCACTCCAACTTCTCTGGGATAAACTACCTCCTGGCCTCATACACACATAGACCCAGATGTGACAAACAGTCATCATTCTGTGATTAACGACTAATTATCTGGTTAGGACTATTACTGAATGTTGACCCAACTCTCTGAAGTTTAAAGGGTGTTTAGCAATTCTTCACCTTAAAGATTTTCACTGCATACACATGCCCTCTGCTTTCTTGGGGAGGCTGTGTCACAGACGCAGCTCACAATAAAGAAGGCTCTTACGCACCACCCCAAGAAGACCCACAACTTACAACGCAAGCTGGCTCCTGAAGTCTCATGAAAGCGCTTCCTGTTGTCTCTGTCAACTCTAACTATGTGATTTCTGATACCCAAAAGGCCCACACCAAAAAATCCAAATCAGCTGCTGTCAAGTCAATCCCCATGTGTGCAGAGCAGAACTGCTCCACAGGGTTTTCAAGGCTGTGACCATTCGGAAGCAAACAGCCATAACTTTCTTCCAAGGTGCCTGTGAGTGGGTTCGAATCGCCAACCTTTCGGTCAGTAGTTGAGTGCTTAACTGTCAGCGTCACCCATAGGAGTTTCTTTTGGAAGCTCTTCAAAAATTAAAGTAAACTAAATAAAAGGTTTACTTTAATTAATTAAAGTAAACTAAATAAAAGGTAGGAGCTCTGGTAGCATAGTGCCTAAGGCATTTGACTGCTAACCAGAAGGCTGGCGGTTCAAACCCACCAGCCACTCCTTGGAAGGAAGGTTGGGCATTCCTACTTCCGTAGTGATACTGCCTCGGAAACCCAAGGAGGGGTCGCCACTCCTTGGAAGGAAGGTTGGGCATTCCTACTTCCGTAGTGATACTGCCTCGGAAACCCATGGAGGGGTCGCTATGAGTGCAAATAACAACAATAACAACAAATAAAAGGTGTGCTCCTGGGCGTGGCACCCAAGTCAGGAGATCTGCTTCCAGTATCAGCTCTTATCAAGGGCAATTGGATTGGGTGTTTCCTCCTTCTGCTCAGGCTGTGAAGACTACAGGGAGCTGGTCTTCTAGGACACTTCTGGTGCTGTCTTCTTCCCAGATAAGGTCCGAAACAGCACCCAATGCCTTCTGCTGCCTGGCGGACTCTTCGCACTGAGGGTTAGTGCAGTGGCTCCCTCAGCCCTAAGACCATGCTGCCCCTACATCCCCTACAGCCCTCCCATCACACACACCGGCATTGTCCCCAAGCCACCTGGCACCATCAGCGCCGTCCCAAGAGCCAGATGGTGAGTGTGCAGGAAAAGCCGGCGCTGAACTTTAGGGTTCACTTTGGCTTAACATGCAAAAAACAAACGTCAAATGTGCATACAGCAGATGGAACCCCACAGAATGGGAGCAAAACGGGCAACACACCTCAAATTGTTAACCAAAACCTGACCCACTCGGTCGGGTGAGTCTGGAGGGCTCCTCCAAGACCGTGAACGGAGGTGCCCGAGGTCACCTTGGAGCTAATGAAGAGTTGGCTCACAAAATACAGAATATCACCCGTGAGAAACGAGCTCCTTTAAAAACATCATCTTGAGGAGACTCAGGGTCCACAGTGGCTTCAAAACAAAGCCGAGAAGGTGAGGGGGCAGGGGGACGACGAACGGAGACGGAACCGCCGAGAGGGGGTCAGGCAACGCGTACCCACCGGGAATCAACGTCCCTCAACAGCTGGGCGAGGGCCTAAGCTGCGGTGCCGACCTCCATGGAAAACACCCTCAAACAACGTCAACTAGAGAAAAGGCCGTGGGCTCTCGGCGAGGCCCGCGCTGCACGTGTCGCCCATCAAGCGAGTGTGCGAGTTCCATGGACACTACGCGGCGCTCCCGAGAGGCCGTCGGCCCCAGCGCCCCAAGGGTCATTCGCCCGGCCGCTCGGAGGCTTCCACCCCGGGAGGCGCCAGGTGAGGCCGCTGCGTCCGGGGAGTGCGCGGCGCCGGCCTCGGGCGCCTCCTGTTCCTCACGGAGTCCAGCGTCGCCGCGCCCACCCGACGGGCCCACAGCCGGGCGCCCCGAGTCCCGAACGGCCGGAGCCCCTGAACCCGGCCCGCGGAGCCCCGAGCCCACTCGCTCCGCCACTGCGTCCCCGCGCCCGCCCTTCCGGCGCACCTGGAACCGGCCCGGCTGCCTTCGCTCTCGGGCCCCTGGAACATGTCGCCCGCCGCCCGGCACCTCCCTCAGCCTGCCGCGCTGCGCTTCCCGCCCGGCCCCGCGCAGGTATCCGCGGCTGCCCGCCAGTGCCCATTGGACGTCAGTTGCGCCAATCAGAGCTCTCAGCCTATCGCGGCCCCTGAACCCGGCCCCCTCCGCCGCCGCCCGCTGCCAACGGGAGGGCGGCCTGAAGAGGTCCGCGCCGCTCTCTGAGCCGATTGGTGGGAGTAGGCGTCGCTCACGGCAGCGGGCTCCGGCATTGGCCACCGAGCCAGTGGGGCGGTGTCCCTCGAGTGCTGCGCTGAGGTGGACTCGGCGGCTGGGCGCTGGCCAGAGCGGGACTCTGGGGGCTCAGCGCGACTTCCAGGACCCTGCGCGGGCGAGGAGCAGGCGCCCCGGGCCTGGGTGCTGGAGCCAGCCGTGTCACCCGTGGGCGCGTCCCCACAGGGCGCAAGGCCGCCGGCTAGAACCGGATCCCGGGCGGGGCGCCGTCTCCGAAGGTACCGGGCGGATAGATCCCCGTGGCCAGCGCGCCGGCGGCGGCCGCGGTGCGGGCGAGGGGACCGGGGAGTGAGGACCGGACAAAACTCGAAGTTCTGAGGCGCCGGGCCCTCGTGTGCCGTTTGTTGTGACCCCCCGAGCCAGGGGAGGTGCACCCCCAGTCAGCAAGGGAAGCCTGACTTGTGATTGCCAACGTGGAACTGCTCACTACGGGTTGGTAAGCACGGGCAAGCCCGCGCTTTCCTCGCTGACTGGGTCCACCGTCCCTGTCAGGGATCGTCAATTTGAAACGAGCCGTTGACCCTGCGGGGAGATGCTGTGGGGTCGGGAGAGAGGCACGTGCCAGCCGCCCCCAGGAGTGGGATCTTTGCTGTGAAGAAATGGGAAAGTGCTCACTGCAGATCCGTGGAAAAGCTCAGGAAGCCGTGCTTACCGTGTTTACTGGGGAATCCAACACTGCCCGGAGCAGCTGGCCACCAGAGGTCACCGAACCCTTGGTCACCTGTGTTTGATTCCGAGAGGAATGTGGCTTTCCGGCCCGTCAGCAAAAGTTTGCTTTGTACAAGTCGGGGACGGCGTCTGCGCACTCCACCAATGGAAAGATCTGAGTTTGACATGTATTTGTTCACGAAGCTGCCCTGCCCTCAGCACCCAGGGCTGTGGGGTGCAGGACAGGGTCGTGGGGTAGGAGGGCGCCTCAGAGACTCCGCCAGGAGGAGCACACACAAGAACTAGACACGGCAGCTGGACAAGTTCCCTGGGCTGTCCTTGTCCTAACTGGATCTACTAGCCAACAAACAAAACTAAGCAGGTTTTTGATGTGAAAAGACCCTGGAAGTGGGTGACCCACCTCCTCCTCTGAGTGCTCACCAGATGGTGACAGTTCTGCTCTGGCTGCTTTATAAATGCAAAAACCCCACTGCTATGGGGTTGACTCATAGTGACCATGTAAGACAGAGTAGAATTGCCCAATAGAATTTCCAAGGCTATCATCTTTACAGAAGCAGGCTGCCTCATCTTTCTCATGTGCTGGCTGGTGGGTTTAAACCACCAACCTTTTGGTTAGCAGCTGAGCACGTAACCATTGCCACCAGGGCTCCTTAAAAAACAAACTTAAAAAAAAAAAGGCAGAAACAATGATTAGATCAAGTATTAGTATGTATTTATGCACAATAAAAACAGATTTACAAGTTAAACTGGAAATTTAAACATAAGAAGTTTAACAGCTTTTTATTATATTAAATAACCAAAACACCTTTTATTCCCAAAATTGGTAAAGAATAAATAATATAATTTACAATATGGTACAAAAAAATAATCAGGAAGGGCAGGCATTCTGCTTTATACATACACTGTATCTGTATATTTATAATCTATAAAACAAATTCACATCTCAGACAAGCCGAAAACTTTAGATGATATGGCTTAACTAGTATTAAAAATAACAGCAATAAGTCCTGCTGCCCAGTCTGTGAGCTCCGGGGACAGTATCCTGGTGGTGAAGGGTGGGCCCGGGTGGTGGCAGTGCTGCCCAGTTGTGCCTTATTCAAGATGCCTCCAGACAGCTTAGTGAGAGCAGAGCTCTTGACGGTCGGGAAAGCTTTGCCAATTTTTTTTCTTTTTGGTCTTTAGGAATTAAGTGCCATATTTCCCCATAAATGCATCTGCTACATGTGACTGTTTATAGAAATAAAAAACCCAACCACAACTGCTGCTTCCTCCTCACTTATTTCCAGGGTCTTGTATCCTAAGACTTCTCTTTGTAGAACAAGTGTGAATTCAGTCATGGAATCCCAATGGGGATGTTATTAAACTGAAAACAGAGGCAGCCATGGTAGGGGGGTGATAAAGGACAGGATTCTGTAAGAACCTGGAGATGTGGGACAGTGAATTGATCTACTGAGGAAATGTCCCCAGTCTTCCGCACTCCCTGAGCAAGTACTGTATGCCTAGAAGATAGAAATAAGAAGGTATCAGCACGACCCTCACAGGAAACAAGGACAGCCCCTGGCCTCTGCATCACTAGATGTTCTTAAGGGTCAAGGCCAAAGACGCCAGCTGTTGAGACCCAAGATCCTCAGTCTCAATCTTAGATGCATCAGCTAAGACTCTAGACGAGTGGTTGGGAAAGACCTAAGACACCCAGCTCATCTGAACCACATCCTGGGATGCACAAGGAAGTCGGATCACAACTTGCCTTGAAGAGGCGCTGGGAAGATGCAGGAGGTCCCAGGGTCCTGTGCTTATCTTCTGAAGACCCCAGCCTCTTAGCAGTTGTCAGCTACTGGGAGGAAATGCACCCATCATTTTCCCACTGCGCATGACACCTTGTTCTCTTTACTATGTGAGTGCGCTCTCCTACTTACCCACTGCCGGAGCACCAGCTGAATACCCTGGAATAGTGTCAGCTTTACAAAGGTGGGAAGCCCTGCTCATCTTCCTCCCTGGTCTGTCTGCCCAGTGGGTGACAGCTAGCTGCTCCCAAAGGGAGTGCGTGCTGGAGCCTTGAGCACGTGCTGCTGAACAAGACACCTGCAAGCCCATCCCCGCTGCCAGAAACTTCCGTTTAGATGTCACTGGGCAACAAACGTCAACCTTCCCACCATGCAGCCCTGGGGCTCCCCGCCACACTGCCCCAGGGTCTCCTTGGCTGGATAGGCAGGACGGCGAGGATGCCAACCATCCCTGCCCAGGCCCTCACCAGCTGCCCCTCCTGTCATCAGTGCCGCGATGCCACGTGGTGCCTGTGACCTGGGGCAGTGGGAGAATGAGGACCCGCCAGGTGGCCTAATCTACTGCAGATCCAGGGCCTCACTCGTCCCACTCAGTACAGTGCTAGTCTGGAAACCGTTACAATGAACACAAGCTAGTTTCTGTATGCTGGCGCCAGCTTCTTTGTCCCTCCTAATACAGCGGCACTGTGTTCCTTTCTTTCGTACTTCAGAACTTTGGGAGCATTAAGAGCCTTGAGTGGACGGCACAATTTCAGTCACTGATTTCTGTGCCTAGAATCAGAGCTGATGGAAGGAGGACACGTTCTAGGCAGAGCTCTGGGATAAAAAGGGAGACGGAGGAAGGGAACAGTTGCCTGGAGGCCAACCAACGCTTTTGTTTCCTCCTGCCAGCCGTGTGCATGGCTTTGCTGCAGTCTAGGGAGGCTGTGGCCGGCTAGGGATAGCCCAGGATCGAGAGGGCCCCCTGCTCATACACGTGGAGACTTTTCCATGCCCCTGCTCCCACTGGTTAACTTCTTCACTGAGGACACGCAGAGCAGATGATGGGGAGGCTAAGGTGGCCCAAGGGCCGCTGTGCCTTGGGTGAGGGGTGGAAAGCAGACAGTGCCGGTGCAGGTAGGTTAAAAGGCCACATCAACCCTGGCTGCTGATGGCGGGTGAGAGTGGTGTAGGAGTGACCTGCCGTCACCACAGCAACCCTGTGTGTGGCTGGACACCGACTGTGCCTGGGAAAAGACTGCACTGTCTGTAGGCATCACCACTGCCCCACCCTCGATGCACGCACACAGGGCTCAAGGAGGCCATACGGCACAGGGACACACAAGCGCTACATAAGGCCTCAGGGCACAACTCGCACCAGTGCCCCAGAGAGGAAGAGGACATGCTGATTGAGGGAAGAGTGGCCGAGCAGAGGCTGAGGACTCGGCAGGAAAGCTCGCTCGCCACTCGCTTCCTCAGGTCTGGCAACAGCACAAAGGGGCATCTTCAATTACGGAGAACAACCTGCAGGAGAAGGGGCCCAGCGGAACCGGGGGCTCCATTCTTCAGTGTCTCCTAATTCTTAGGACACCACAAAAACATGTCTCATGCAGCTGGGCCGGCCTCTGTGACGAGTCCACATGGCCTGCCCAAGATGTGACTGTCCCCCCTCTCATTAAATCAGTCGGAGCAAGACCTCTGGAAGGAGCAGCTCAGGCCGCAGCCAGGACTTCTGCGTGATGGCGCTGGGCATGCTGCCCTCGGGGCAGAGCGTCCTCTGTCTGCCCAGCACTGCCGCACAGAACACAAACTCGAGAGGGGGAGGCTCAGCAGGGAGAGAGCAGCAGTGGCGCAGCCCCCGCAGACGGGGCAGGGGTCGGGTCTCAGATGCCCCAAACCCCATGGCTACACGGGGGCAGGCCCGCTCCCTTCCCCCGGAAGCAGCCAGCACCACCGACCCGGGGAACAAACGTGCCTGAAATACCACTGCTCTGTGGATCCCACACAGGGCCCCAAGGCCATGGTGGCAGCGCTGGCCCCATCCCAGGCTGCCCTGGGCTGGACGGAGCACGGCTCCTGGCCCACTGTCCCCTGTACTGCCCGCTTCAGGTGCAGAGGTGTCTGTTCAGAAGCTCAACCTGTAGCGGCTTCTGTCTGAAGAGGGCTGCACCACCACCCCAAGAACCCTCCTCTGCAGCCCGGGCACGGTCACTGGGACAGGTCGCCGATGGGGGCCCCGCCACTGTCAAACAAGACTTCACGGCGGCTGGGCTCGGTGACGGACAGCTCCTGAGCCAGGTCATTGAACCGAGAGATGTAGTCGATGCTGTTTTCGTTCATCATGCACACCAGCTGCGAGTCCACGACCTGTGACATGGGGCAGGGGCCGAGTTAGTGGGCAGCTGGCCATTGCCCAGGGACCTGGAGAACAGCTTCCCAGTAAAGACTGGCCTCACCCAGCAACCACATTGCTGGAATCCAGCCCGCATGGTGGCCGAGTGCACTGTGGACGAGGGACGGCAGGGCCAGGGCTCGAGGTGGGCCATGGGGACAGGGCCGTGGAAGAGCTGGGTGTGGGCCATGGGGACAGGGGCATGGAGCAGGGGCGGCATGGCCAGGCCTCGGCGTGGCCCCGCGGCCAGGGCCGTGGAGGAGGGACGGTAGGGCCAGGGCTCGGCGTGGGCCACGGGGCCGGGGCCGTGGAGGAGGGACGGCAGGGCCAGCGCTCAGTATAAGCCATGAGGAAGGGGCAGTCAGAGAGACCCTCCACAAGGCTTTGGATGGTGATCACACCTGGCTGTGAGGGAGGCACGTTCCAGCAGGACACACGGCAAGTGCAAAGTGCCTGAGGTGGTGCCAGGTTCAGTCAGCGTGCTCGGGAAACAGGGTTGGATATGAGGGATGAGGTGGGGACAGGCTCAGTCAGCGTGCTTGGAAGACAGATGGACAGATGAGGACGGACATGGGGGGCGAGGTGGAGACAGGCTCAGTCGGTGTGCTCAGGAGAGGGTCAGACAGATGGGGACGGACACGGGGGTGAGGGGAGACAGGTTCAGTCGGTGTGCTCAGGAGACAGATGGACAGATGGGGATGGACATGGGGTTGAGATGGAGACAGGTTCGGTTAGTGTGCTCGAAACAGACGGACAGACAGGGACGGACATGGGGGTAAAGGGAGGACAGGTTCGGTTAGTGTGCTCGAGACAGACGGACAGACAGGGACGGACACTGGGGATGAAGAGAGGACAGGTTCAGTCGGTGTGCTCCAGAGACAGACGAGGATGGACACTGGGTGAGGCTGCACGCGGAAGCAAGGAGAGATGTGGGGACTGGAGTGGGCACAGGAACAGGGCTTTGGTGACGAGGGTTTACTCTGGGGGTGAGTACGTAGAAGTCACTGTGGCCTCTTTTCTGTCAGCCTCCTTCTCTAGACAGAAGCCTCAGGGCAGCCCCTGCAATAGTGCCTGGCACACGGACCCGGGGCGAACCTTCGTCAGCTAACCCGTGGGGAAGTGAGAAGCCCAAGGTGGGCTGTGCCTTTCCGGCGGGCCTCGAAGCTGCTGCCCAAAGGTTCCCCATTGTCAGGACTCGGGGCCAGAAATGACACTGCCAGCCACCGCTCTGCGGGAGGCACTGACACTTCACAAGTCAGAAAACCGAGGCAGGGAAGGGTGGTGTGCCCGGCCCACAGCCGCACAACCAGGCCCAACACGACAGGAGGTGCTGCCTGCACAGACCCCTGCGGGCCCCGGGCGCAGGGTCTCCAAGCGTGCGTGCCCTCGGAAGCCTGCTGTTACTCAGGGTCTGTCACTTGGGGTGAACGCCGGCCCAGTGCGGCCAGAACTTCTCTTTCCCAAGAGACAGTGAAAAGCGTGGAGGCGTACGTGTGGCAATTTTCAACTGTTGGTGAGCGGTTCTACAGCCACCACGGAGGCCCAACCAGACCATCTGCAGGAGGGCTGCGGCGGCCTGAAGCCCAGGGGCACTGGAAGAGCACTTACCTCTGCCACGTCGGCCAGGGACCGGGACACAAAGGAGTCCCGTGAGTTTCCATCCAGCAGGCTGGGACCTAGCAAGGAGGTGCCGCTGTTGGTCCCAGTGGGCGTCGGCAGCATCCTTCGGCTCTTCTCTGGGGAGATGAAGCTCGCTGCAGGGACAAGGCCAGAGAAACGTGTCCTGACGCCCGGATCACTCGGCTGCGCTGCCACCCCCTCCGAATGTCTGCTGGCAAGTGAGTGGGCACCGGGCCTTTTCACACGGGAAGCCCGACAGCAAAGGGCATCATCTAGCCCACTTCCTTGGGAGACCGGTGCCCTCCTGATGTGTCTGCCAGACACCAGTCCCTCCCCAACAGCAGATAAAGATGTTTTTCCACGTGTCCTGGTCTGTACCCAACCCTCACACGTCTGCACTGGGACATATGACTTGCATGACAGGAACTCACTCAAACTCACAGCTAATGAGTTGGATCCAACCCACATCGACCCCTCCTTGGGTTTCTGAGGGTATATCACTACAGAAGTAGATTGTCCAATCTTTCTTCCAAAGAGTAGCTGGTGGCTTTGAACCGCCAACCTTCTGGTTAGCAGTAAAATGCCTTAAGGCACTACGCCACCACAGCTCCCTCGTGACACACGTGTAAATGGCTGATACCCTCTGCACCCTCCAACCTTCTGGTCAATTCTGGTCTGAGAGGAGTGGGACCCACAGATGCTGCTGCCTATTTGCCCTGTGTGTGGCACACCCCCCCAAGGTGGCCAGGGACAGTGCACCGTCTGCACCCCTTGCTGAGTCTTTGAAAATGTAGGTGACAAAGGTGCATGGAGACAGTCAGTCCAAGGACCAATGGACCCCAAGACTCACAAGCCTCCACAACCCTGAAACCAGAAGCAGATGGTGCCTGGATACCATGCCAACCACTCTGAAAGGGACCAGACAGGAGGTCCCAGACAGAGTGGGAGAAAAATGGGGAACAAAACCCAAAATTACAAGATGACCAGGCTAGCTGGTCTGATAGAGACGGGTGGGAGCCCTGAGACTGTGGCCCTTAGACACCTTTCAGGCCTGGACTGAACTCACTCCTATGGTTTCACTCTCAGCCAAACAATAGGCCTATAAAGCAAACACCAGGGAAGTCTACTCCTTACAACCAACCACATGGGCTCAACGGGCAGCATGCGCCAGGGAGAGAGCGCAGAAGGGAGGAAGGGACAGGCACAAAGGATTAACAGGAACCAGGCATGCAGGGAGGAGGTAGGAAGATGCTGTCACCCTGGGGTTGCAAGGAATGTCACAAGCAAGACACTTACAAATCGCTGAGTGGAAAACCAGTGTGCTCTGTAAACTCCCCAACATCACAACAAAATACATTAAGCAAAGAAAGACAGACAAAACGCAGGTGGACAGATTCCAGCACACGATGGGATGTGGAGGCAGGCACGTCCCTCCTCTGTGGACCCCAGCCCACCACACAAAACAGTAAGGCCCAGAAAGAAAAAGGCTCACAGATGACGGGGCCCATGTTAGACTCTGTCGGAGCCACAGCAGGGAACACACCTAAGACATCCCGCATGTCCCCTGAGACAACCTCACCGAGGACAGAAAGGGGAGGGATAAGAGTGTGCAGGCGACCAGCTGCCCTGACCCCACGACCGTCATGATGCGCCCAGCCAGCACACCTGGACTGCCAGGGAAAGGGTCCGGGGCGGGGTCGAGGCCACAGGATCACGTGAGCGCTCACACGTGTCCAAGCTTAGTGCACTGAAATCCCGTGTCCACGGAGAAATTATGCCTCAATGAAAGATGACAGTAACTCACAAAAAAAAAGCCTTGGAAAAATACAAACAGCAGCCCCAGTGGATGTGTTGCTAATGAGCGGGAGACCCATCTCCGAAACCACCCGTCCCTCCCCACGGGGGCAGCGTGGGGGCCCCTGCCAAATGGGAGACCCATCTCTGACACTGCCCGTCCCTCCCTGTGGGGACAGCGTGGGGGCCCCTGCCGAATGGGAGACCCATCTCCGACACCACCCGTCCCTGCAGGAGTAGCACGGGGGACCCGTCTCTGACACCACCCATCCCTCCCCGTGGGGGCAGCGTGGGGGCCCCTGCCGAACGGGAGACCCATCTCCGACACCACCCGTCCCCGCGGGGGTAGCATGGGGGACCCGTCTCTGACACCACCCGTCCCCGCGGGGGTAGCACGGGGGAC